CTTTATCTGGTCCCCAAAGTATAATAGAGAATGTGCCTAGCATGCCTGTCTGAAAAGAGTTTGTTCTTGTTGTTTTCGACTTGTGGTGACCCTAAGGCAGACCTATCACAGGTTTTTCTTGGTAAGATTTGTTCAGAGTGATGTTTGCCTTTGCATTCCTCTGAGGCTGTGTGTGACTTGCCCAAAGTCGCCCAGTGGGTTCCTGCTCCTGAGAGACTATTGGAACTCTGTTCTCCAGAGTCACAGCCCAATGCTCAAACCACTACACTACACTGGTTCCTCATTGAAATGTTTGCTCTCCCTCTGATCTCAGACAATGAGGGAAGAAGAGCTTTATGTTAGGGTGATAGGCAAATTAGCACAGTAGCAGGCACCACAACCCTTTCAGAATATGAATGAAATCATAGAACACTATATAATCACAGAGTGGGAAGAGACCCCCAAGGGCCATCCAGTCCAACCCCCTTCTGCCATGCAGAAACACAGAACCAAAGCACCCTTGAAAGATGGCCACCCAGACTCTCTCTAAAAACTTCCAATCATGTAGCCCTCTAGATCAGGGGTCCTCAAACTTTTTAAACAGGGGGCCAGTTCACTGTCCCTCAGACCATTGGAGGGCCGGACATGCGTACTGCGGGCCTGGGTCAAGTTGGCTGCTAAGCAGGACAGGCAGCGGCAGCAAAAACACCTGGCAGGCCGGATAAATGTCCTCCGGCCGCATGTGGCCTGCGGGCCGTAGTTTGAGGACCCCTGCTCAGGATGTTGCTGGACTGCAGTTCACAGCATTCCTCCAATTGGTTATGATCCTAGGGCTTCTGGGATTTGTAGTCTAATAACCACCCCATTTTGAGATACCCGAGACCAAAACCACATAAATATTTAAAGGTTAAGACTAGCTCTTTGAACTTATACATAGAAACAGGTCTAAATTGTTTAAAAAGCAATGTGCTCTATCTGACTGGTCACTGTTGGTTTCGCAGCAGTATTCTGAACCAACAGAAGTTTCCAGATAGTCTTCAAA